ATCACAACATTTACAAATCTCTCCATCAAATGCTCAACTTGATTTTCTATGTTTTATATGTTACTACTGAGTTTGTTATCAGCATTGTGTTTGATGCACTGAGATTTTATACGGACCGACTTAAAATTTCCCAGACTAAAGTGATGGTGATTCCTTTTTGGGGAGGGTAGGTGACATTATGACCAGTGTGGCTTAAAAAATCAGTTTCCAGGGGCTGGGGTTGTAGTGTAGCAGGTTAAGCCGCTGCCTGTGACACCAGCATCCCATATGGGCGCTGGTTCCAGTCCATATGGAGCTCCCTGCTGGAGTGCCCAGGAAGGCAGTGGAGGATGGCTCAGGTGCTTGGGCCCCTGCACCCACATGGGAGATCCAGAAGAAGCTCCTGGCTTTGGCCTAGCACAGCCCTGGCCGTTTGGGGAGTGATCCAGCAGATGGAAGATTTCTCTCACTGTCTCTCCCCCTCTCTAAGTTCACCTTTCAAATAAATACAAAATAGCCGGCGCCGCGGCTCAATAGGCTAATCCTCCGCCTAGCGGCGCCGGCACACCGGGTTCTAGTCCCGGTCGGGGCACCGGATTCTGTCCCGGTTGCCCCTCTTCCAGGCCAGCCCTCTGCTGTGGCCAGGGAGTGCAGTGGAGGATGGCCCAGGTGCTTGGGCCCTGCACCCCATGGGAGACCAGGAAAAGCACCTGGCTCCTGGCTCCTGCCATCGGATCAGCGCGGTGCGCCGGCCGCAGCGCGCCGGCCGCGGCGGCCATTGGAGGGTGAACCAACGGCAAAGGAAGACCTTTCTCTCTGTCTCTCTCTCTCACTGTCCACTCTGCCTGTCAAAAAAAAAAAAAAAAAAAAAAAAAGGGTCAAATAAATACAAAATAAATCTTAAAAAGTTTCCAAGGGCTGGCATTGTGGCATAGCAGGTAAAGCTGCTGGCTGCAATGCTGGCATCCTATATGGGTGCCACTTCATGTCCAAACTGCTCCATTTCCAATCCAGCTCCCTGCTAATGGCCTGGAAGGCAGCAGAAAATGGCCCAAGTGTTTGGGCCCCTGCTACCCACATGGGAGACCTGGATGAAGGTCCTGGCTTTGACCTGGTCCAGCGTAGGCCATTGCGACCATCTGGGAGTGAACCAGAGAATGGAAGATTTCTCTGTCTCTCTCTCCCTCCCTCCCTCCCTCTCTCTCTAACTCTGATTCTCAAAATAAATAAAAATAAATCTTTAAAAAAATGAGTTTCCATAAGGGAGAGAGTATCACTAGGTATAGTGGAAAATAATTTTAATTTGAAGGATATATCTTTGAATTAGATCAGTCAATGGAATGTTAATACAGTGTTAGTAAGAATGACTAAAACTCAGAATAGCAGGAACTTGATGTTTCTTGAAATGCTGCTGCTGTTAATTATTTTTTAAAAAACATTTTATTTATTTATTTGAGAGGTAGAAATACAGACAATGAAAAAGAGAGAGATTTTCCATCTACTGGTTCACTTCCCAAATGACTGCAACTGCTGGAACTGGGCCAATTTGAAGTCAGGAACTAGGAGCTTCTTTCGGGTCTTGCAAGCAGATGCAGGGACCCAAAGACGTGGGCCATCCTCCACTGCTTTCCCAGGCCACAGCAGAGAGCTGGATCAGAAGAGGAGCAGCTGGGACTAGAACTGGTGCCCATATGGGATGCCGGTGCTGCAGGCAGAGGATTAACCAAGTGAGCCACTGCACCGGCCCCTGCTGTTAATGATATTCTGTCAGTGGCAAAGGTTCTTTTTTTATTTTTTTCTTTTTTGTGTGTGGGGAAACACTTCAGAAAGAAATTAATTTTTATGGAATATCTGCTACGCACTGAGCATCACTAGAAGAGTCTTCACCTGTGGTTTCAATCGTCAAAAAACACTGTGATAGATGGACCCCCATTTCACTAATGAAAATGAAACCCAACAGTAAATGAAGGTATAGGTATTGACTTTATAAATTCACTCAAGAAACTTCCTAAAGTTTTGAAGCCAGAAGGAACCTCATAATTTATGTACTTCATTATTTTCAACAAATGAGGACAGTGAAGGGTTAAGATTTCAGACCATCACATTACTGGATAAATGATTCTAAAACAAATATGCCCAATTTGAAAGAAATGTAAAAACTCAGAAAGTCTAGTTTCATTCAACCATTGCATTCACTAATAAATAACTTTCTGCACTTGGGGCAAACAAAGTCCTTAAACAGAAATTCAGGCTTTTTTTAAATATATAAGATTTGTTTATTTTATTTGAAGGCAGAATTACACAGAGGACAGACCAAGAAGGAGAGGGAGATTCCATCTACTGGTTTACTCACTAAATGGCTGCAATGACCAAGATGAAGCCAGACTCAAGTTTGGAGCCAGGAGCTTCTTCCACTTGGGTGTGGGGGCCCAAGCACTTGGACCACCTTCTGCTGCTTTCTCAGGCTCATTAGCAGGGATCTGGATCAGAATTGGAGCAGCTGAGGCTCAAACCACACTTATACGGAATGCTGGTGTTGGAGGTGTTGTTGGTGTTGGCTGCTACACACAACACCAGTCCTGAAATAGAATTTTCAATGTCTACCTTAAGTCTCCCCAAACAGGAAACATGTTTAGCTACCAAACTCCCTTATTCACACGGCCTAGCTTAAGATCCAGCATATGTGCCTGATTTTGCCCTGTGAGTGATTAGGGCAAGGTTAGTCACATGACTAACTTTTGTATAAGTCATCACAATGCCCTTAGTCTCGTATTTATAGACTTGGAAAACGCTAGAACCCCTTCTGTTTAATTAAATCAATCTTTCAATTTGGTTCAAGTCTTACATTTAGAGTTCACTGGAAGATGCTTTTGAGTCCTTTCTAACAATGTTTCCTCTAGTGCCAGTTACATGCAGAAGTCATGCTGACACAGAAGCATCCCTACAGGCACTTTTACGTGGTGGTAGGAAGGACCACTGCAGAAACAGACCTGTGACTGAAGTGTCCACAGCCTGGAAGTGGGAAGTTAGAACCCAGGGACCGTGAACTCCTCATCCTTGAGCAGACTGGCAGAGTTTCACCTTTGCTGCTGAACTCACAAGCAAAGGGGGCAGGAGTGAGCTTCTTGCAGCCATACAAATACCCCGGTTCCTTCACAGTATCCAAGAAAACGCTTAATGCCGCGAACCTACAGGTTCACCCCAGGAAGCACCACGCCGCGGCTCGTTACTGCAGGACCACCATCGCTTGTCGTCCGTTTTCTCCAGGATTCCTGCAAAGCATTCATTTCCATCCACTGACTGCTCTACTAGTTGGTGAGAGTCTTGGTGGCAAGCCCAGCTCCCTTCTTCTGGGATGTCCCCAGGGTGAGCTGATGAACCCAGACAACAGCCCTGGGAGAGAGCCTTCTGGAGACTTGGAGTAAGGCAGCCTGAGTTCTCAAGTTGCCCAGAGCTCTATAGACAGAGGAAGAGGAGACACCGTCACTTCAGTGCTCCCCAAATCTTGGCTGTCTATCTGGGTCACTGGAGAGCTTCTGAAAACTACAAGTTCCGAGGCCATCCTCAGAAGGTTATCCATGCATCAGTAATTCATTGAGCATGTAAACTACTGAGCTCACACTGAGCATCCCGGGCCCAGCCTTCAGGTGCTTTCCACACATGGATTCACCGAACCTTCACAACACCCTGGTGTGGTAAGTAGCACTCCTTTCTGGGCGAGGAAACAGAGGACAGAGACTTTCTGGGTGTTGGGAAAGTTCTGTCTTCACTGTGGTATGGATGAGATCAATCTCCTGGTGATGAAATGGCCTCATACATGCACTGGACCGAGGTCAACTGCCTGGGTTTGATGACCGCTCTACAGCTGTACAAGATGTAACCGTGGTGGAGACTGGGTGAAGGGTGCATGGGATGGCTCTGCACTATTCTTACAGCTTCCTGGGAATCTATAATTGTTTCAAAATAAAAAGTAAAAAAGAAAATCATATGCTTACCTTTGGCAGAGCCTAAGTCAACCAGAGGCCTGTCTCCTTTAAGACTGGCTGAAAGAGGCCATTCTCGGAAGATGAAACCCCGCACCTCTGGCAAGAGAAACCCAGGGTGTGGGCAGAGCAGGGACACGGGGTAGTGGTGGCAGCAGGAGCCGAGCAAGGTCACCAGGAACGGCCAAGCTAAGCACTTCGCTTGCTACACCAACAGGGCTAGAACTTCCACCTTGCAGTGATTCCCAAATGAGTAGAGCCTTGCTGTCTAAGAACCACCAGAGAGAGGGCTAACCCAGCACAAAAACCCTGTCCCAAGCCAAGGACTGAGTAGGTCAAGGACAGGGTCCAGGAGTCTGTCTTTAAAAAGCTCCCCAGGTGGCATGGGTTACAAAACCTTAGATTAAGGGGCAGCTGATAAAACTGGACCTTCAGTAACATCACAAGGGTCAGACACCCTGGGGACCACGACGCACACCCTTGTTATATGGATGGTTTGGCTGAGACATGGATCACGTTTGTGTCATTAAAACATCCAAAGTGTATATCCCCTTTCTGAACGCTTTGTTTAACAATGAAGTATTACACTGAGTTATTTTTTCTACTGACTCACTCCATTTGATTATTTACCAGATTTCTCAGGGAAATGTACAAACAAACAACAGAATTCCATTACAAACGTTTGAGGATTCAAAGACCACTAGGTACGCTGCGAGATGAAGAATGTGTGTGGCGACAAGTAACAGGCTAACCAGGCGCAATAGGAACAGCACAAGCCCAGAGCTGGCGTCTGCCCCTGCGGATACCTGCTGGCCTCTCTGCAGCTCTCCTGACCTTTCCTCTCCTGCTGCGCCAGCCGCTCTCGGCTCAACCCTGCAGAGAGGGAAGACAGCACCACTGGCACTCCAGGCTGAAAAGGAGGCTGCGAAATCGAGTATTTCACTTCTGCGGCCTCTATGGTGGAGGCAGGAGAGGAAACGGGGCAGGGCTGCGTGTGAGGCAGGCCAACCTGCAGTGTCTGCCGCAGCTTTCAAATTAAATTCTATCAAGTGCTGTTTAATTAGATCTAGAAACAGTTGATTAGATACAGAGTAGCAGGTTACCCTAGAAAACAGGGGTGGGTGGGATCAGGTATAAAGATCTCCACTGTCCATAATGGTACACAGGTATATCGGTCTTTCATTCTGTGTTGGAACCAATTCTAGTTGTTTAAGAACTTCCGTTCCTTCGATCAGTTGCCTACACAGGAGAGAGGGAGGAGAAATGCAGTTAGTTGTTAGGTTTCCATATTTAGCTCACGTTCCCGACAGCAGCCCTACAGCCAACCACAGCCAAGGCTATTTCCTACACATGAAATTGACATCAGTCACAGTATCTCAACTGGCTCCCAGTGTTTTGTGCTGCACCCACAAGCAGCACCCCACCCAGACTGCCGTCCCCTTCCGCTGAGAGGCTGCCCTGCCGCAGCAGCTCCTGGCCGGCTGCCCACACCTGCTCTGGCACTGCCTGCAGCCCTCCTCATGCAGCGTGATCCCTGAGATACCAATCAGACGTCACCTCCCCACTAAAACACTCCCGTGATTTCCCATGATCCTCTGAGAAAGACCAGAAATCCTGACCGTGGCCTACTAGGGCCTGCACTGCTGGCCTGCTTGCCACAGGCACTGTCCTGCTCTCTCCCCCAGCCAGCCCAGCTTCCAGTGCGGAGTCCTGTGCTCCCTTCCCGCCACAGCGGTCCCCTTTGCTCTTGCCTTCAACCCCACCCAGTCTGCCTGGTCTTCGCCAGCCCCTCGGCCAGTTTCCATTTGCTCAGGATTGAAATCTTACATTTATTTGCATCCTCCTTTGATTCATTTCTGATTCTCCATGGAGGTAGGGATCAAACATTTGCCCAGTGCTCAACCCAGTGCCTGGCGTGTCCCAGGCACTCACTGAGAGCAGGAACAAGTGGCAGTTCTAAGCCATGCCAGTTTGCAGCTCTGCACACTCGGCTGGCCATGAGCCAGAACTCCCTGAGGCATGGAGCTAGACTTCTGAGGAGTCTCTCAATTAAAAGAGGACAGCACGGGCAGAGAGTCAGGTCCAGAACAGGACCGATGCCTACACCTGGGCGGAGGAACTTGGGGGAGGGAGAGGGGGAGGGGGAGGGGGAGGGGGAGGGTGCAGTTCCCATCTCATGGACCTCTGAAAGGGCATGGTGAGCACTAATACCCCAGCCCTCCTTTTGTCTCTGGACTCTGCTTTTGCCATCCTGACCAAAAATGATGACACAGGGTGCTGTGGCTTCAGTGTCCCCTCCGAAATTCCCACTGTGCTGGTCCTGAGAGGTGATGAATGCCATTAGGGTGGGGGTGGGCTCCCGACGCAAGGCTGAGTTCCAGGACCCTCTGCCTCCTGCTCGTTCTTGCTCTCTTCGTGTGCTCGCCTGCCTTGTGATGGCCCTGCCAGGTTACGATGCAGCAAGAAGGCCCTCACCACCAGGTGCCAGCACCGTGCCCTGGCACTTCCCTGCCTCCAGACGCAGGGACCAAATACATTCCCACTGTTTATGAATCAGCCAGTCTACGGTATTCTGTTGTAGCAACATAGAAGGGATGCAGACACAGGGCCATGTAGAGCACGTTCTGAGGATGAAGAGCAGAGGACAAATGGGCAGCTTCGTTTCTGGCCAAAGAAGGCTACAAAGCCCAGCCTCCAAGTGGGTCTCGTCACACCGACTGAGCACTTGGTGTGTGCCTTTCTCCAGTGTGACGGGCGTTAGGGTCCAGGATGAATGAGACTCAGTCCCTGCTTTAACTTGTTCACAAAATACCAGAGAGGACCAAGAAGCCATTTGCTTTCGGTAACCAGGGAGGTTTCTGATCTAAGCCTTCAGCAGGATTTCGGCATGCCAAAGGCAGGCGGAAAGAAACAAGATAAGCAAAGGCTGAGAGAGATGGTCTGGCTGCAGCTCAGCCACCAGTCTACAGACTGCTTCCAAGTGTACATCTCCAGTCCTGACCCAGCTTGGATGTCTGCCTCCTGGGACACTGTCAGCTAGCGATTCTGCAGGTGTCTTAATCTAAAGCGTACAGCACAATGCGTCCAGCCTGAACTCCCAACCTTCCCTCTTCCTCCCTGGATTCTCTGTTTCGGCAAATAGTATAAACCATGCACTCAGTTTCCAAGTCCTAGGAGTCACTCCTGATCTGAACTGCCCAGAATGGTAGTCACTAGCCACATGTAGCTGTCTGAATTTAATTAGAAAATACAGTTCTTCTGTTGCACTAGCTTCAAGCAGTCAATGGCCAGGTGTAGGCTGTGACTGCCATACTGGACAGTGCAGATCATAGGACATTTCCATTACCACAGAAAGTTCTTTGGGCCAGCACTGCTCTGCACCGCTGCCATGCCCTCAGCCTCAGCACCCACACAGTTGTCAAGTCCCATGAATCTAACTTCTCAGTACTGCTTGGATTTGTCTGTTGATAGCTGGCTTGTCTGTATGCCAGTGCCTTAGAGCAGGACATCACTTATGGCATTTATGGTCATTTATTTATGTTATAGCCAGAGCTTCTTACCTGGCATCTCTGCTTTCATTTTCATCCTCCGCCAAGTCACTCCTTACTTCTGCTAAAGAGGTTTTTTTGTTTCCCAAAAAATGAGAAGCTGGTCCCATTGCTCACAATTTAAAATTCTTCCCTGACCTGCCATCACCTTCGGTGAGGTTCATGTTCAGCAACGTGGCACCCACGGCCCTGGACACGGCCCCTGGCTGTCCCCCACTCTCTCCGTTCCCCCCTGGGCACCAAGCTCCAGGGGGCCCAGATGACGTGTAGCTAAGATGCTCTCCTTTCCTCCTGGCTGTGACCTCCAGCCTTCCCCGTCTCTCTGATTTCCACTTAGCACGTCCTCCTCTGCTCATCATCTTGTGACTATTTCCATGACACCCCTCCTCCCCCAGCAAGGGCCCTTAAAGTGAAATTAGTTTCCCCTGCCATTGTCCCCAGCATCAACCCCCTTCCACCGAGGGCAGGTTGTGAATTAGGACCTCACAGACTAGTATTTTATCTTCTTTCTGTGTGAGACCACTGAGCCAGGCCATGCTCTGTGGATTGCTGCGGCATCTCCTGAAAGGCATTCCCAGTGTCAGCCACCTGAAGAAGGGACAGGTTCACGTGCCAGAAATCAGGGCTTGCAAAAAGGGCCTCTCTCAGAGAGGTGAGGGGACTCCTGTAGCTTCCAGGAGCTCGGAGGTGACAGGGAAGCAGCAGCCCTGCAACTGGGAAGGAAGGGATCCCTGGAGGAGAAACGTCTACGTGAACAGGTTATCCAGGTGCCTACGGTGTTATTTCCTCCAGCTTCTCCCTTGGTGTTCAGTGAGGTCTTGTTTAAATATTCCAGCTCTGCCTCAACTGTGATTTGGAGATTGAAGGGATAAACTGAAATCATAGCTGGGCCAGACAATAAAAGGGATACAGTGCCTCCCTGAGGCTAGAGCGGTGATGACAGTAAAATCTAAGAGATTTCCTCAAGGGGAAGGTCAATCATGGAGACTGGGAATCGCCAAAAAAGACCAAGTTCCCTGCACTCCACTGCCAGCCTGCAGGGAGCTGCGTTCAGCTTACTAAAGGGGTTGGGGTGTTTTCTGATCCCCTTCTGCTGTATCCCCAGAGTACCCTGGACAGACATAGCCCTGTCACACTGTCCTGTACTTGCTGGCTTTTTAAAAATCTGTCTTTCCTTATACTTTAAGTTCCCTGAAGAACAGGAATTGTGCTTTGTCTTTCTTTCCAGTGCTCAGCGCCCCTCCCCAGCTGGCACACCGCGGCTGCCTAATAAAATTCTGGTTGGATGAATCCGGAAGATCACAGAGGTGGAGGCTGGAGACGCCATGCGGGGCCAGCAAGGGAAGGACGGGGAGTGCAGCTCCAGACTTCAGGCTGTCGCCTCTGGGCCTGGGAGCCTGGGGGTGCTGATGCAGACAGTCAAGTGCTAGAGCAGCCCTGTCTGTGTTTGAGACCGGCGCCTTTAGCTAAGATACACGGGGTCACCGACAGCTGCCAGAAGACAGATATCAGTACGATGACAGAGAGATTTACATGAGCCAAGTAAAGTGGGGATTATTTGGATTTAAAACTAATTCACGAATGCATTTTCAAAATCAAATACAGTTTACTTAGGGCCAGGAGAAACTGAAGAAATGCATTCTTTTTGGTTATGCAGCTATTAATGTAAAGTCGTTTCTTCAAAGATATTGGGAGGAAAATATGCTTTCTACTGTTTTCAACCTGGACATATCACAGAAAGGAACACAATGAAGAATTACTGTTAAAGTTAATACTTCATGAGCTGACTTGTCAGAAACTATCCCTGTGGAGTGCCTGGAATAATCTAATAGCTATTCAGGAAAAAAAATCTAATGTTTCTTCATTTCAGGGAAGAAAAATTAACTCCACCTCCTATTCTCTTTAGCAATCAAAGGTGAAAAGCACTGTAGTTATGAAAAATATATACCTCTCCCACTTTAGGTCCACATACCTATGTGCACCTAATAATATTCTAATGTTAATTATTATTTGGGATATTTTCATATTTTAAATTGTTCAGCAAAAAAAAAGTTACATATAAGTTGGACAGTTTTCATCTATCTCTTCACAATGTTCATGGGCTGTTACTTAAATGGCTTTCTTTCCTAACCTACATGTATAAATATATCCACATTCTTAAGCATGAAGGTGTAATTTGTAGTAATTAAGAAATTTTTTTTGACAGGCAGAGTTAGACAGTGAGAGAGAGAGAGAGAGAGACAGAGAGAGAGAGAAAGGTCTTCCTTCCATTGGTTCACCCCCCAAATGGCCGCTATGGCCAGCATGCTGCACTGATCCGAAGCCAGGAGCCATGTGCTTCCTCCTCGTCTCCCATGTGGGTGCAGGGTCCAGGGACTTGGGCCATCCTCCACTGCCTTCCCAGGCCACAGCAGAGAGCTGGACTGGAAGAGGAGCAACCGGGACAGAATCCGGCACCCCAACCGGGACTAGAACCTGGGGTGCCAGCGCCGCAGACGGAGGATTAGCCTAGTGAGCCGCGGTGCCGGCCAAGTCGTTAAAAATTGATAATATCCTTGAGGCTGAGGATAACTATATAGATGGAGGGTTAGATGGTTGCATGCATAAACTGAGAAACAGAACATTATCATGGCTGGGCCTCACTGATTTCTATGTTTTGTTTTATTTACTAAAGAGGCAGAGAGAGACAGAAGGAGAGTTCACATTCACTGGTCTACTTTCCAAATGCATGCAATTTCCCTCTAGGTGGAGCCAAAGCCAGGAGCCAGGCACTAAATCCAGTTTCCGCCACATGGGGGAGGGGGGTCAGGAAGCGTCACTTGGGCTATCATGCTGCCTCCCAAGATCTGAATTAGCAGGAAGCTGAAGTCAAGAACAGAGCTGGGTATGGAGCCCAGGCACGCTGAGATGCCATGGCTGGCTTACCACTGGGCCGGACATTTGCCCCTGGCTTCTGTGTTCTTAGAGAGAGCAAGAGGCTTTATGAAATATTTATTTCTAAGTATGCTTATCTATATATTACTCTTTCTTTTAGGCCCTATCTTTAGCTATTCATCTACTATATACAATACTTCCCCAAGTCTTTAGAAGAGTATTTTCATATCTGTGACTGTTACAAGGTACATACCCAAAAGCCACATATTTTCTGTCCAGGTAGGGGGTTGCTTGCAGTGTGATGTAGAACTGCGACCCATTGCTGTGACGGCCTTTGTTGACCATTCCAAGAACGCCCCTTTTATCATGAGGGATTGAAAAGTTTTCGTCTAGGAAAGACAACAATCAGGTCACTAAACTACTGCTAGCTCAACTGAATGTAACATATAAGGAACAAACAGAAGTCTCAATAATAATCTCAATCATCTAGACCAATATATTCCAAAGTGTAAATATTCTATAAATTCTATTTGTTTCATATGCTTTGTAGACACTCAAATGGACTGGTAAAAAAAATTTTTTTTTTTTTGACAGGCAGAGTGGACAGTGAGAGAGAGAGACAGAGAGAAAGGTCTTCCTTTGCCGTTGGTTCACCCTCCTATGGCCGCCGCGGCCGGCGCGCTGCGGCCGGCGCACCGCGCTGATCCGATCCGATGGCAGGAGCCAGGAGCCAGGAGCCAGGTGCTTTTCCTGGTCTCCCATGGGGTGCAGGGCCCAAGCACCTGGGCCAAACTCCACTGCACTCCCTGGCCACAGCAGAGAGCTGGCCTGGAAGAGGGGCAACCGGGACAGAATCCGGCGCCACGACCGGGACTAGAACCCGGTGTGCCGGCGCCGCTAGGCGGAGGATTAGCCTAGTGAGCCGTGGCGCCGGCCTGGTAAAAATTTTTTTAATGAATGCTTTTTTTAAAGTGAAATTTCTTTGTTGTTACTGTATATGTACCCAGAAAGATATAACTTACAGTTTGGCATTTTGGTTTGTTATTTTCATTTAGTATGTTTTATATATATATTTACAAACCACTCCTATATATATATATATACACACACATATATATACATATATATATATATATGTTGTGTGGGCTTTTTCTAAAGTAACAAAATTGTAACAAAATTGTGTGTGGGCTTTTTCTAAAGTTCAGTTTTCCTTGTCCAAATTTTATATTCTCCGAATAAATGTTTTTCACAAATGTTAAAAAAAAAAAGATATTTTTAAATCTTAGAAGCTATTTGAATGATAGCTCCAGTTTATCTTTACCAGAGCTAAAAACAAGTATGCTGAGAAAATTAATCATGTAAAAGGAAGCATACACTTTGAGAACAAAGGGCTGCACATGCTCTTGTGCTGTTAGGCAGTGGCATTTCATTCCAATGACTACGTGGTCATTATGAACACCTCCTCCAAGAAGCCTTCTGTGCACACGACTCCATCTTACACACGGCTCTCTGACAGGCCATACAGTACCCTATGAAGCTGTTGGGTTACAAGGTGCTTCCTTCCTGTGTGGGAAGGCAGGGACTCTGTCACTGAAGCTTTACTTGTAGGCACACATATGGCCCTAAATGTTGATGATGAAAGGAAATTAACGTATGTTTATTTTTAGTGACCTACAAGTAAATTTTAACCTCAAATCTTATATACATAGACCAAGATTTTGTGGGGAGCAATACTTTTTTAGGGTAAAGTTAACAAGTAGAAGAATTGTAGGGTGGTTAGCAATGGCTACCATTTTTCAGGAAATATCAGCCCCAGCACTGCCTTGAGTTCATTTATGAGAAAGAAGTAAAAGATGAGAAATTCAATAAAAGTTTCCATCTGGGACAGTAACCATCTGGGACTAACTGGGAGATATAAATATTAACTGTTAAGATTTTATTAAACTGCATTTGCTGACTGTTCTTATTAAGTTTGAAAACAAAGCAATTAAGCCATATTGGCGGTAGTGACTTGCAGGTTGTTAACTTGCAAACTGAATAAAAGACTTCTAAAAGCTCATGAAATGCAAACTAAGGCATTTCTGTAGAAATGAATCCATCTGATTACCTCAGGGCTCCACAATCACTTCAGTGGACTCTACAAACAGCCACTGATTTTACAGAAAATAACATGGGATAGAAATCTGCTCCTGGCTGGCGCCACGGCTCACTAGGCTAATCCTCCACCTGCGGCACTGACACTCCTCCAGGTTCTAGTCCCGGAGTGCCTGCCCTGTCTCTCTGCCTGGTCTTTGATCTGCCCCTCCTTACACTCTCCATCCTCCAATGCATCTTCCTCCCTCCTCCCTCCTTATGGTTTAAAGCATCAAAAGCTACAATTTTTTTTTTTTTTTTTTTTTACAGGCAGAGTGGACCTAGAGAGAGAGAGACAGAGAGAAAGGTCTTCCTTTGCCGTTGGTTCACCCTCCAATGGCCGCCGCAGCCGGTGCTCTGCGCTGATCCGATGGCAGGAGCCAGGTGCTTCTCCTGGTCTCCCATGGGGTGCAGGGCCCAAGCACCTGGGCCATCCTCCACTGCACTCCCTGGCCACAGCAGAGAGCTGGCCTGAAAGAGGGGTAACCGGGACAGAATCTGGTGCCCCGACCGGGACTAGAACTCAGGGTGCCGGCGCCGCTAGGCGGAGGATTGGCCTATTGAGCCGCGGTGCTGGCTAAAAGCTACAAATTTTTAAAAAATTATTTACTGGGGGCTGGCGCTGTGGCACAGTGGGTTAAAGCCCTGGCCTGAAGTGCTGGCATCCCTTCTGGGTGCCAGTTCTAGTCCTGGCTGCTCCTTTTCCGATCCAGCTCTCTGCTATGGCCTGGGAAAGCAGTGGAAAATGGTCTAAGTCCTTGGGCCCCTGCACCCATGTGGAAGACCCGGAAGAAGCTCCTGGCTCTTGGCTTCAGATTGGCGTAGCCCCAGCCGTTGCAGCCATCTGGGGAGTGAATCAGCAGATGAAAGATCTCTCTCTCTCTCTCTGCCTCTACCTCTCTCTGTAACTCTTTCAAATAAATAAAATCAATCTAAAAAATCATTTACTGATATGAAGTTCCTTGTTTTTTTCCAAATATAAATAGTAAATGGTGGGCATGTTTCATTTATCACTTCAAACACTAAATTAAGTTATTCACACTCCTTGATAGGAAGCTGTATCCTGTGGCAGTGTGCAGCACTGTTGAAGGGAGTGAGTCACATTAAGGTTATTTAAATAGGATGAAGCCCATGGAGATGGATTTTTATCTTCTCTGGTGAGCAGTGAGACCAAACAGTATACACCTCTGATTTGACCCAGTTTCTTCTGAGTTTCTGCCAGTGATAAAATATGTGTGGGAACCACCCACCCATAAAACAAGAAGAAATTTGCCCAAGTAGAAAGAAAGGCTATTTACTTAGAACTTCAAACGTTATGATTAGGGGGCCAGCGCTGTGGTGTAGTGGGTAAAGCACCGCCTGTGATGTCGGCATGCCATATGAGTGCCAGTTCAAGTCCGAACTTCTACACTTGATCCAGCTTCCTGCTAATGCTCCTGGAAAAAGCAGGAAGATGGCCCAAGTGCTTGGGCCCCTGCCACCCATGTGGGAGACCCAGAGGAAGCTCCTGGATCCTGGTTTTGGACCCAGCTCCAGCAATTGCAGTCAACTGGGGAGTGAACCAGTAGATGGAAGATCTCTCCCTGTCTCCCCCCTCTAAACTCTGCCTTTCATATGAATAAATAAATCTTAAAGTTATGATTCAAATGAAAGCAAAGTCAAGTTTTAAAAAATGTTTAACCAGCTTATAAAATAGTCATCAAATTAAATTATGTTATTTATTTCATTAAAAATATATTTATTGGGGCTGGCACTGTGGCATAGTATGTTAAGCTTCTGCCTGCGGTGCCAGCATCCCATCTTGGTACCAGTTCACATCCAAGCTGCTCCTCTTCTGATCCAGCTCTCTGCTAATGGCCTGGGAAAGCAGCAGAAGATGGCCCAAGTGCTTCAGCCCCTGCACTTGTGTGGGAGACCCAGAAGGAGCTCCTGGTTCCTGGTTTAGACCTGCTCAGCTCTGGACTTTGCAGCCATTTGGGGAGTGAACCAGTGGATGGAAGACCTGTGTGTGTATGTGTGTGTGTGTGTGTGTCTGTAACTGTGCCTCTCAAATAAATAAATCTTCTAAAATATATACTTATTGGGTCTGACACCTACAGTGCCATATCCCATATGGGCACTGGTTCAAGATCCAGCTGCTTCACTTCTGATCTCACTCTCTGCTAGGGCATGGGAAAGCAGTAGAAGATGGCCCAAGGACTCTGCACCCACGTGGGAGACCTGGAACAAGCTCCCAGCTCCTGGCTTTGGATGGGTGCAGCTCCAGCTGTTACGGCCATCTGGGGATTGAACCAGTGGCATTACAGGCTAATCTTTCTATTCAAAATTCTTGATATGCCTTTTAAAGTCTCTTTAATCTTCAGGTTCTATTTCCATCCCTGTCTTTTCCTTATGCAAGGATACCTCAAAAACCTCTTGGAAGATGCATACCGTGAAAAAACTATGCATGGATTTCAAAATATTTTGCACCAAAATAAACTTTTAAAAAATGTGTTTATTTGAAAAGCAGAGTTACACAGACAGAGAAAGATCTTCCATCTGCTGGTTCACTCCCCAAATGGCTGCAACAGCTGGAACTGGGCCAAAGCCAAAGCCAGGTGCCTGGAACTCCATCCGGGTCTCCCATATGAGTGGCAGCGGACCAAACACTTGGGCCATCTTCCACTGCTTTCCCAGGCACATTAGCAGGGAGTTGGATGGGAAGTGGAGCAGCTGGAACTTGAACTGGAGTTCATATGGGATACCAGCATCACAGACAGTTAACAGGCTGTACCACAAAGCCACCCCCTAGTTCCATTTACATGAATTTTTAAAAGTACACCTACATGGGGCTGCCATTGTGGTACAGAGGGTTAAGCCACAGACTGCAGCACCAGCATCCCATACGGCTGCTGGTTCGAGCCCCGACTGTTCCACTTCTGATCCAGCTCCTGCTAATGCACCTGAGAAAGCAGCAGAGGATGGCTCAAGTGATTGGGCCCCTACACCCACGTGGAAGACCCAGAAGAAGCTCCTGGCTCTTGGCTTCAGCCTGGCCCACTGCTGGCTGTTGTGGTCATCTGGGGAGTGAACCAGCAGATGGAAGATCTCTCTCTCTCTCTCTCTCTCTCTCTCTCTCTCTCTCTCTCTCCTTCTCTCACTCTGTAAATCTGCTTTCAAATAAATAAATAAAAATTTTTAAAAAATTACACATACTTCATATGTTCATGAACTTGAGCTACTGGATGCTAGAATTTCCCCTGGAGTTTCCTGATTG